ATTTCTTGTCTTATACAGGGTGGCTTCATCAGTTATAAAACTGCTTTCCATGAAGGCCCTGTTTCAATTACATTAATTCCAATATAGAAAGAGTAAATAAAGCTTAAATTAATGAATATACGTGCTCTTGTTGGTTCAAGTTCTCACGCTAAGGTCTTTCATGCAGATAATTGTGACGTATTCATGTTGGTCACTGTCATACAGGTACACATTATGAATACGGGTGATTCACAATAGTGCGCCACCAAGAGTTTGCAATGCGTTGGCCAATCATAACGGGCGAAATTTGTCGACCCTTTCCAAACGCGATTTGGGTCGACAAATTTCACACACTGTGATTGGCCAACGTGTTGCAAACTCTTGGTGCAGCACTATTGTGAAATGGCTGTATTAATTAAAAATTAGGGAACTGCTGTTGGGGGACTCATTTACATGCAAAGGCTTACGCAAATCAAAATACCCACCTGGAACCAATGAAACAAATGCTTGACAAAAACTATGACTAATACCCACTGAGAGGCATCGTTTGTGTATAATGCCCAATTACATTTACTCTTCTGGTACATATAGAATCATGAAGGTATGAATGATTAATTCAGTCAGAGGGACTTTTTTGAATTTGCTAAAAGAGATTGTCTCCTGCAAATGAAATGAATTCAAAGTCAACAAGTGATCACCTGATTCCATTCCCATCAATTTATTCTCTGTCAAATTGGTCAGACGTGTTCTTTACTTTTAATATTGACACAAGCCCTGCAGCTCTAAAGTGCACATGGACCAAACAAGCAACAATGAGCCAGAAGAAAATTAGATGAATTGGTCATTAACTTTGAAAGCTTACTTAGTAACTTTTCTGCCTCACCAGATACATGCATGTATGTGCATTTGAAAAGACTCAGAAAATACATATCGTACTGCATGGGTGCTCAATTGCTCATATATAATTCCTTAATGGACCATGAGACCAAAGTCAAACTTGGTAAATACAGGAAAGACCTTGTATGTATGTGCATGTACAGTACCTTAGAAGGGGGACATGTGAGTTGGCCAATTAAGGCGTGCGATTTGACCTTCACAAAGAGAAAGGTGGTTTTCATTGTTTCCTGTTTATTTGACTATGCATCCCACCTCCAAAGTGAGTTAAACATCCCACAATTTCTCCTTTAACCTTCCAACAGCCAGAGAGAAATTTAGGAACTTTGTCCCTCCCCCCTCTCAAGAATTTGGCCCTGGATCTGCCCTTGCCCACACATTGATTCTACTTCAAATGTAAGAACACCAAGGCTCATGAATTAGACCATTTCAGTGGAAGATCTGTTCTCTACTGCCTTGATATACATTACTAATAAGCTGAGATCACCTCACAAGATGGACTAACTGTATCCCAGTCCAGTTGATGGGCAATACTGACCCAAAACATTCAAGACATTAACCAAGTCTGACACAAAACTGATCTCAACACCTAAAGCTGACTCCACCCAACACATATTAAGGTGCAGCTCTATGATCTGGACCAACCTAGAACCAAACTGACCCGGGGAGAACCGGAACAAAGAGAACAAGCATCCGGCTCGGAAGAATTGTCCTCAGTATAATTTCTCCACTTTTTTGAGTATATTAATCCTTCAGGGAAAAACTGTCATGAGACCTGAAATGGAGAAAAAGAATTGACATGGCCCAAAGTCCGTTTTAGTGCAGTGCATGAAAATAGTCTACCGTGTATAAGAGAGCAAATATGAGCATATTTCAGCCCCCTCCCCCACTGATACATTTTTTTCTGGTAAATGAAATCAAAGTGACAATCCTGTTGCACTGTATCTAATGTACCTGTATGAGGTATACCAAGGATGTTTTGCAAGGGGGTATAATGAACTCCTATAATTTATAGAGGCAGATACTCGACGCATTATCTGCCAAGTGTTTTAAATGAAAGTTCCTACATTTTGGTGAATTTTTTTCCAAATTTCCGTCTCAATATCCCAAACATGTACAGTAGGCCTACGCTGTATGTCTCCCAATCTGTCTTACACTTCTAGGAATCACTAAACTTTTTTAAGGACCGGATCTTTGTATACTGCACGTCAAAATGCACTCTAGTGAAAATGCATCCTCCTATGTCAGTCGGTTTACAGCCGTGACATTTCCTCTCCATTGCCACAGCCATCTTCCCCCTAATTTAATTGCAGGTTACATGTGTTTTATAGCCTTCCACAGAGAGAATAGGACTTTTTATTCCTGCCTTGAGAAAATATTAAGGCCATTATTTGAGCAATCGGGCGGTAATTGGCCGAAAAACAAATCAATCTTGAAATGAAAATTATTTCATAATTCCTTCACGGTCATTGGACGTTCCACTTCATTACTGATCACTGCTATTGGAATTGGATTTCTGCTGTTCTGGGCAAACACCCACGTAGCCTAATGTAATTACTTTACTGTCAAATTTTCCAGACAAAATTTGTGACTGGGCACTCATCTGTGCAGTGGGAGGCCTTGGGCATGTATCTGTAATTCTGGAAAACGTTAATGGTTCATACAAGTACAAGGTACATGGTACATGTACGTGCAGGTTAGGAATTTATACACAAACTAGCGATGTAACATACATGTACATGTACCAATGGGTATGTGTTAATTGCCAACCACTGCAATTCAACCATAATGAACCAGTTCTGCATTCAAATGGCAAATACTCAAAATGAAGAGTGTCCGAGGTCATTCGGATGCACATGTCTTGCAAGATCCACCCTATCCGTGTGGCCCTACATATACACTTTCTCTGCGAAGACCTTGTAAGCTTTTTTGAAATACCGCACTGGCTCATTTCGTCATATTCAGTGTGACAGAGGCACTTAACATTTTCTACCAAGGAGGATTATTCCTCCAAATGCAAACCATTCCAAAAGCACCAACATCTTTCTACATGGTACACTGAGAACAAGAATGTGTACATTTGTACATGTTCATATAAATGTAAGAACATACACACAGGTATATGTACATGTATGTACACACGTGCCATTCAGGGTACGGTACATGCATCCACACTGTACAATGTTACTTCGAACCTGCTGGATTTCGTCAGTTTGATTTCAATTTTTAAATTTGATCTAATGGAAAACATAAAATTCAATGTCAATGACTCCGGCTCCGGTTACAGTAAGCATCAATGTTTGGCACAGTAAATGATCCAAGCTGGTGCCACGTCATCATCATACTCATTAGGATCTGCCACAATCATCCGCACCCATCCTTTTCTTCTTCAAGAAATAGGCACAGATGTAGCACTGACAGATTTTATTGAGTATTAACAAAAACTGTATAATTTCTGTATAACTTCATAGGGCCCTTGTTAACTTAACACTGAAATTTTCCCAAGCTTTGTGACTATTATCCGAATATTTTGTAAACGTCCATAGAGCAGGTTTTGTAAAGAGTCTGCCTCCTATCCTTATCATACAGCAGCTGAACTGAAGGTTATATTTGATCCATACCCTAATTTTACTCCTCGTTGTATAAATATGTATGAATATATGCATGGACAAATATTATTTCCATGGCAGGTGAGAACCCATCACAGTTCATACATAAATGCAAATAACTGCCGGCAGGTTTATGTGCGAAGCGCAGCGACCTGCAAGACAATTAGGGAAATCAAATCACTCCGGTCGGAAAAATTGTGTGCCTATGTACTTGGAATAATGTCGTATGACTTTGGAATATTGTTTAATGAAATTGTGTGCACACTCCGGCCACAGGTGAGAAAGTGCAGGGTAATGCAGCAATGCCCTTCCTGGCTCACTTGGAGCTTGCAGGGAAAGACGCATAGAGAGAGGCTTTTGCACTATACATGTACACATAGCTTCAAGGGCATGGCTATTAAAGCATTTTTTGGCAAAGACCTCCCATACATGGATGACGTGTGACATGTTTTTCCCATTGTGGTCCCTCACCAATTGTGAATGGTACACGTACCTGTCATTTCCTGAATTAAGACTGAGACCAACACATGTACGTGTACATTTATACAAAGTGCCTTGTCACAAATGGCATAGGGCATAAAACGCATGATCTACATGTAGGCATTTTACATTTATAAACATGCAGTTTCACAGATGTGCAATTTATTTTGTTTTTTTTTCTTTACAGGGATTCTTCATCTCTTTCCCTCTAATGACCTAAATGTAAGTATTTTGTTTTTTTTGTTTTGGGGTTTTTGGGGGACTTTTTTTTTGGTTATTGTTGTTTTTTAACAACACTTTGTGGAATTTGTTTGAAATTAATTGGTTTGCACTTGAAGTACAAGGAACAAAATGTTAAAGAGTCAAATTGAATTTGACAATTGCAGACGTTTACCAATACACTATACACACATACATGTACATGTATGCTGGGCCATTTCTGCTTATTTTCTGAGCACTTGCAAAGCATTCGTGCATAAACAAGTACAATGTATTGATTCACTCGTCGATTTTTCCTCCAAAATTTAATTAATTTGAAGTTTCATACACGTGATGCACATATAAAATAGTGGTAACAAGTGTGGGAATATGATTGTATGCTGGGGTTGCTATGACAACTCTGCCAACCTGTTGCCACGCATCTATTCTGTATTAAGCCAGGCAAGACCATTTTTTTAATGAAGAGTTGTGTCTTTGTGGTACAGTGATTATTTGTACAGCAAGAAAATTGGAATAAAAGTGATGTACAATTTCTTTGTACACGCATGGTAACAAAAAAGTTAGAAATCCGAGTTCAAATGAGTTCATCTTTTTCATTTTGATGAATCTTTTTATAACAGACAAGTCACAATCTTTTTAGAGTACTTTTTTTCCATGGTTACTTTGTAAAGAACAGCCAAGCAATCATGAGAATTAAAATACAACTTGCTGCCTTCAAGGTGAAATTAAAGGTAACCACTTGAAAATGACTGTCCAACTTTCCTTCCATTCTGCTAGAGCAAGACAAACAAAAGCTGGCTTTTGAAATCAATGAGGAAACTGCAGCTCTTCAGCATTTTTTTTACCACCAAAGGATTTCCACATTGCAAATTTGGCATAGCTGACACAAGAGGAAATGCCTTCTCTGAACTCTCGCATCATCCTGGGAAAGTTTCTCGACTCGTTTCAGACCAGCTGGTAAATCCTGCCCTAGGAAAGAGAACTGGCCAATGGCGGAACCACTCAAGAGATCACTGACCCCGAAGGTGCATACAAGTAGAAAGGTTCTGACTGTGCTGTCAAACTTGGTGTATGATGGGTTTCCCTTCCCGCAAAAAGAGTGACAAAACAGGTGATTTCCAGAATACATAGTAGTTGGTACATGTACATGAAGGTTAGATAAAAAAAACACTCGAAGAGTTTCACGCCTTGTTCAGGAGATTTTCAAGTTTTGAGAAAATTAAAGGCTTCTTGTTTAGATACATGTACAACATGAGGAACTGCTAGGTACATGTATGTCAGTACTGTAAGCAGAGTTCAAATAAATGCTCAATAAATATGCTAGTACGGCACTACACAGTGTGTTAAAAAAAAGAAGGAAACTGAGACTGATTTCTTCATTTCTTGGACATAGCTAAATATTTTGGAAATTGGCAACCACTCATTTCTAAACTAATGATGTCCTCATGATGACACCAAGAAACTGAATTTACAGTCACAGATGACTGAGCATGAAGCAGTTCAATCAACCATATCAAAAATGGTCTTGCACCAGACTCACCGCAGCCTAACTCTGACAATTCCAAGCCCATTTCTCCTTGAAGACACATGCGGGTCTCTTTGAAGCAACTCACAGACAGCCCTGATGTTCTTTGTCAGCCTTAGCGACAAAACATTTAGTTAGGCACTCTTTTTAAGACGATATCATTTCTGTATTAAACATTTACATCAGGGAACCAGACAAACGAGGTGGTCTTATGTCCTGTGCAAATCTACAAGCTGAAAACACCTAAACAGTAAATAGTGAGGGGGCCAGTCTGTTCCAGTGTTGGTAAAGGCAGTAACATGTACATACGTACAAGTACATGTACGTCATTTCTCGGGGAAAAAAAAGCCTTGTCACCACACCACTTTTGGAGCCAGCCCCTGACCAGAAAGTGGAGACTTTTTTGGCCTTATGCATGTTTATAAGTTTTGGTATCACATACTTATTCATAGAGTGTGTGTGTGTACATACATGTATATAATGAATTTTCAAGGGAATGCATAATTAGACCTGTATGGCATTGGGGCACGTACAGCCTGTCTATGATTGTTTGAGTGCATGACTGATGATGTCTTTGGCAGTGCCATTTGTGATACATGTCCATGCAGACACAGAACGTGGACGTACATGTACACAATGCATGTCTGATGTCAATGTGCATTATATCCTCGCCACAATGGGTATGCAGGGCTCTCTGTCTAGAACCATTTCACTTGTTTATGTGAAGGGGGAGGAGATGTACATGTACATTTGTTTTCATGTATAGGCATCTTTCCATATGTATGGTTTTGAGGTGCGTTTGCATATACGTTGTGTTCATGCGTTTCACTTTCACAGACACAAAAATCGACTCCATTAACATTACACACTGGTACATGTGCATTGCATTTGGCCGTCATCATCGCCCTAGGAGCAATTTTGACATATACACAATGCTTAGTGCAAGTGTTCACATGCACATGGAACGCCGCCTTCAAGCTCTATCTTTCTGGTGTACATGTCCTGTTGCTGTATTGGTGCATGAAACAGATAACTTTCAGGATAATGCCATAGAAAGCTAAGTAGCGCTCAGAAGTTGGGAGCTTTGACTACACAATTTCAATGGAAGAAATTGAAGTCATTTTTAGAGCATGTTTTCAATTTTGCTGAGATCTCTTTTGCAGAGACACATCCACTTAACACCATGCACTTTAAACGACACCAGAGTCCCAGTTCTACTGATCTATCGTCACCATTACAATATCATAATCAAAATACTGAAGTTGGTGATTGAAATTGGATTGTGTCAGCACCTAACCATTCCCCCACCTCACTCGCTTGCTCCTGTGCGTCCGGGAAATCTATCAATCAATTTTATTCCCTCCGCCCGGCAAGCCCACAGGGGAAAAAAACCTGCTAGAACAAGTCTGCGTGTTTAATGTGCTTTTAGACCAACTCCGGGATCCTTCACTCACTCAGAGAACGTTTGATGCACGCTCTTTTCTTTAATCACTGTACCATTGTAAAATCCAGCCAGAGGCTCTGCCGGATTTCATCCTGTTATAATGGAAGGTTGCCAGTTCCCCTGGCATTTCGTTGACCAGTACTTGACGAATGTCTTTGCTCTGAAGATGCCAAAAAAGAAAAAAAAAAAAGTTTATCCAGCAGTGATTTAGTACTGTCCATGAGTGGCAATATCCCTCCTGTCTCTTCTGATTCAGATACACTAGCAGCAGATACTGACTGACCATAAGCGAACCTTCTCATAAATGGTCACTGCTCACACCACCTATACACACCCATGCCTGTTTTACATACTAAGTGTGGACATCTTTCCTCTGTTCTCCTGTGGTTAAGGAAACTTGAGGAAAATGCTCCTTTTTCTCCAACATTGATACCTCCTTTGAGCTGGATTTTCGATGATGATTTCCAAGACTATTCTCCTTCATTCGTCCACAGATACAATAAATGTAACCCTAACCCCAGAATGCCCCTGGGGTGTTTCTTTAGCAACAGAGGGGAAAACACTGTGTGGACGCCTGCAAGTCCACACATCATCCTCTTACCCTACATTATGTGGACCAGTCCACAATATGCCTGCCATCCTTGTGACCATAGAAACACACACGGCCCAGTACACTCCAATGCTGATGAAATTTCAAACAAACCAACCAATTCATGTAAAGTAACAGCATCGCACATGAACATGTGCATGTACCAGTACGTACATTACGTACTTGCATGCACACAGTAATGTAGCCTGCCTAGACTTTACCAGTTGACCGGTTGACAGGAGAAACATGTCCACCCCACTGGGGCTTGTCTGCCACAACTATGGTTTTCCCACCACTTCAAACCACAAGAAGCCTTAATTAAAATTTTGCCAGCTGGAAACAGACACGCACATCCTCATATCTAAAAGCTACTTTTTCTGTTTGCGTTGATACCGCAATTCAGTATTTATGTGCCACAGGCTTTGTGTAAACATCCCACATGTAACTTACCCATATACTGTACAAACTGTTCACATCATCTGTTTGGTGTCATTTCTTGTTTCTTAAAAGTGCCAACATGCATCCCAAGCTGGCGTGAACACAAATCAGTGCATGAGGTCCGTGTCTTGTCACATATTGGGTACATGATTCACCATACAGACCTTGAAACATAATACAAGCAAAATAATGTACTGACAAGTTGGAGTTTTTCTTTAAAAGGGATGAATATTAGGCTTAATCGGATGGTATTTCAGTTTTATCAAATAGTGGTGGTATTTTTTCAATACCGAAAAATACTGACTGGTGGTCCATACATACCAAAAAACATGTACTGGCAAGTACTGTATGGAATATTGATACCATGGTATTCTTGCTTACACGCTTTGAAAATAAAAGCATATTGTCGTATTTCACTCCATCTTTTGTGGTACAAGTCATCCAGTGTTAACTGGTATCTGCATTGTCACTTGAAATTGGTAACATGAAACTTGAACAACTGCTAACCCACCAGCCAAAAGCCTTGGAAGTTTTATTGTTGCCTCTGCCAGTGTTTGTGGTTTTGGTGTACATACATGTATAAATGTAGCTTACTGAGTCTGACTGGAACTCAAAAGTAGTTTCTGGCATTCCCAGTGAATGTCTCTGTTTATCTCTGTTGCTTTTTGATGACACACACTTAATAACCCACTTCAAAGAATATCAAGATATTAGTCCATATCGCGGTATTTTTATCACGAATATCGTGGTCTCAAAAAATGCAATACTGTCCAAGCCTAATGAAGAGTACGGGTGACAATAAGGTGCCCTCACCTTTGCCCTAAAGCTATTTATAAATGCCTTCTTATATTTTTACATGGATACTTTTTGAGTGACAATTAAACTCCAAACAAATTATAAACTTCCAATGATTTGGTTAACAATTTTACTTTTGTTTTAAACACCCCCTTAGCCATGTTATATTCCTCTCGTACACGTACATGTACATGCAAAAAAATGTCCTTGCATTGAAATTGGTAAGCATGTGGCACTACCGCGTGAGGCGGTACATAACAGTGTAACTAGCCAGTGCATTACCAACCAATCTGGACCATTAGGAATGGCTAAACTGTCTAAGGTACACTTATGAATAAGGGAAAACAGTGTGATGGAGCAGTTTTCAACTTCTACACGTACGTTTAAAACTGGATAGGGGCCCATATGATAATGGGCCAAGCCTTCAACTCATGGGAAGAAAATGTGCATGACTACCCATAGGATGCCTTCATCAGTGGCAAGTCGAGCACAACTGTACATGTCCATGCATAAGTACAAATACATGTATGTACATATATTGTACATGTACATGTATATGTATAGAGTGACGATACATTCTCCCGTGTGCAAGAACGTTTTTGCCTTTAAGGACTTAGTGTTTCTTGGGAAGAACTTAAAGGTATGCATACATGTACAAGCACAAAATAAGTCTTTGTATGGATCAGTACGCAGGACACTAAATTAAGGGACGTTTTACACACTTTGAGTGCCATCGCCGATGCACACTCACACTCAGATGCATTTTGTGCAACTGTCTGCAATCCCCTGCAGGAATCTGCTGTGTGTACATGGTATGAGTTTGACTGGTGTGGCATACAAAACTGGGAGGGAAAAAAGGCCCTATGGGATACTCTGAGCTGGACAAGACTTTGGATGAAATTGAATTTGAAGTTTGTAACATCTGTCATACACTACGTTGCAATTGAAAGTTAACCGGGGAATGGAAAATTCTCAGCTCAATTTTCCTCTTCCCGGGGAATTCATTTCACAAAACATGAAAAACCTGTCCCACAAGTAAGAAAAGATTTTCTTCGCGGGGAATTCATTTCAAAAACCTGAAAAACCTTTCCCACAAGTAAGACAAGATTTTCACAGATTTTAAAAGAGTTTCCAGACTGTCTCACAAGTGACAAAACACTTTCACACCTTTTCACACAAGTAGGAAACTATTTCACCCCAAGAGTGAACGTGAAAGTGAATTCTTTCACAAAATTTCTCCCTCCAATACGTAGTGTTAACTTAATTCAACCGTACGTGTTCATAAACACTGTTAAAAAAGG